CTAAGGCCCTTACCCCTCCTCCAGCAGTCATGTGCGGTTCCGCGATCGCGGAACCGCACGCGCTTCCCCCGTGGCCCTCACCCCGCTTCCAGCAGTCAGGTGCGGAACCGCATCTACCTCCCACATGGCACTTTGGAAGCTCGTGTTGGTACTGTTCACACGCTGTACTCGCTCACTACGCTGTGTGTGTGTGTTTCCAGATGCCTCCTTTCACCTTGAAGCTGGATTTCGATCAGGCTATCCCCACCAGCAGCGTTTGGGTGTGTACAGCCTGTGGCAGAATCTGCAAAGCGCTGACACCGGCGGCCTTAGTGGGGGGGTGTAGGGGTTGCAGGGTGGGCCACTTCATGGTGGCAGTTCGTGATGGAAGGGGTGGTGTTGTGTTGCACTCGGGCACACCAACACTCTCCTGGCCCGCCCTGGAGGGCCCCCCCCCATCCGGCCCCTCCGGCCCCTCCGGCCCATCCGGCCCATCCGGCCCCTCCGGCCCCTCCGGCCCATCCGGCCCCTTCGGCCCCTTCGGCCCCTTCGGCTCATTCGGCCCCTCCGGCCCCTCCGGCCCCTCCGGCCCATCCGGCCCCTCCGGCCCATCCGGCCCATCTGGTTCTTCTACACCCTCCGCCCCTGCTGCCCACTCCGTCCCCCACCACTCTTTTGCCCCATCTGCCCCCCACCACTCTTTCGACCCTTCCGCCCCCCACCATTCTTTGGACCCCTCCGCCCCTTCCCACTCTATTTCCTCCCCATTTGTGGAACCTTGAACCGGTGATTCTTGACGCTTAAGCCGGTGATCATCAGGTGGCGCACCTCCTACGATGACCTTCCCACGGCTTGGCGGCTCCATCACCCTCGCCGTGGGCTCGATACAGAGGAGCCCTTGCACAGCAGGCAGCCCGACCCTGTGCCATCTGCCGGGCCCCATCCCCAGCATGACGACCCCGCCCTCGATTTGTCGTGGGGCCTCGAAGGGTGCTCTTTGGCCCCCGAGGACGACCCCCAGCGGCCCGTGGCGGTCGTTAGGCGGGTGCGAACTGTGACGGATGAGGTCACCTTCCGTAGGGATTAGTTGCCGAGGGGTTGTGGGGTAGTGGACAGGGACAATAGGATGTCGGCAGGCGTACGGGTCCTTTGGTCCCCAAGTCATTTTAGGATGTTTTTGTTTGAACATTTTTGCAACTTTTTGTTGTATGAACATTTTTTGTAACTTTTTGTTGTTTCAACATTTTTGTAAATTTTTGTTACTTCTGGCGTTGTGTGCGGTGGTTTCAAAGATATGGTAATCGTCGCCCGTGGAGGCCTCCCACACATCCCATCCAACAGCGCGCGCTGCAAATCACTGGTATGTTTCCAGACTTTGTCCACCTTCACCATCCCCCGCTTGTCAGTCCAGGAGGCCTGAATACCACTGGTATTCCCAGGTATTATACCAGGCGTCGTGTGGTGTAAATGGACCCTGGAGATTTTTGTGCGGTTCCGCCATCGCGGAACCGCACCAGCCGGTCCCAGGCTGGATATGGACCTTGGAGTGTTTGTGCGCTTCCGCGATGATGCTATCTCCATATTGCGGTTCCTCCATCGCGGAACCGCACTATCTCCAAAATGCCTCCAAACCTCTTATTTGTCCCTTGTATCCCAAGCCAACCTAATATGTACTATATTGCAGAATTGTCAAAGCACAACTCATATGATATTGGTAGGATGTCAAAGTCAGGAAACACACGTTTGAACCCCATTTTTCACCACATGTAATGGGACATTTTGAACGGAAGGGAGTTAAAGAGGTACATGCTTAGAAATAGGGTAGCTTGAACGGCATTTTCTTTTTGGGAGATATGCATTCTACAAATCGCTATGCGACCACGATAACGAAGCAATGCAGAGTTTTGAGGTGACTTGACGAGCACCAGTGCACTGTAGATACCGCTCTTGCTCTTGAAGATCGTGGTCGCCAGTGTCCTTTTTTCCAGGGCTACTAAATAGGACTCATAGTCTCCTTAGATTGTGTGGGAAAATGTGATTGACAAAACAACCCAGCAAGGAGCGGAAATCCAAGCCCAAGCTTGCAATTTCATGGAAAGGGTGCATGGCTTTGTGGGTGCCAGCGGATTCGAATTGGTTGTCATGAATTTCTGGACCCTTGCAATATGCTAAAGGTATACTTTAAAGAGTGTGTTGCTTCTGTTTATCAGTTGCCAAGTGCCCAAAGTGATGGTTGGATCTTCTTGATCAGCACCTTTAGCCGACGAGCATGGAATTATCACACTGGACTTGTCAATGCACACAATATCTCGATGTTGCCAGCCGCTACTTTGTGTTATCATTATTTCCTTGGCGGCCTCTCACTTAGAGTGTATTTAGAGCATCTTTACTAGTGGGTGCTATTGTCCCGGTGGAGCTATTCAGTTGTCCGAATAGCACCACACATCAAAAAACCATCATTAAGGGCATCTATATCGGTCGGTGCTATTGCACCGACGGAGCTATCTAGGAATGGTTATCATTGGCTGCCGTGCCACGTTACTAAAGTGGCATTTGCCGAATAGCACCGGTGCTACTGCTCCCCTGCGCGCATCCGTAGTGGCAGGTGCTATGCCTACGCCAAATAGCATCATGGCAGCACTACAATGTTCTATGTGAATAGCACCGGAGCTATTCTAGAGTGCTCTTCGGCCCGAGCGGTGCTATTCAGGGCCAAAATAGCGCCGCTTGGTGCCGAATAGCTCCAGGGGTGCTATTGGGGTGCTATTGCTCCCCAACTACTAATAATGGTTGTTTGACGTGCGGTGCTATTCGGATACCTGAATAGCTCTGCTGGGACAATAACACCCACTGATAAAGATGCTCTAACGGTTGGGGAGCAATAACACCCACCAATAAAAGAAATAATATTACTGCTTGCACCAAATCGGTGATTGCTTGCGCCAAATCATGTGCACACTATGTCCTAACCTCAGTTTTAGGGTTAAGGTTTAGTTTTAGGGTGAGTTTTAGGGTGAGTTTTAGGTTTAGGGCACGTCTAGTTTCAGGGTTTAGGGTTTAGATTTTAGGTTAGGTAAGTTTTAGAGGGAGTTGGTGCAAGCAGTCACCGATTTAGTGCAGAAAGTCACCGATTTGGTGCAGCCAGTAATTTTATGCCCCGATAAAGATGCTCTTCCCAGTGCTCGGAGGGTTAGCCAACAAGATTACATAACCATGTCCTCAGTGGGTCTACAGATGGGTCCAGATCTAGCGCCCCGTTGAACATGCTGTTGACTGATGGGTTACCATTGTGAGCAGAGGACCTCCAACTGTGCCATTTAGAACATATCATCCGCAGGAAAATGGCCATCAGGATGATCCAACTGTCTCCAAACACACTAAACCCGTGACTGTGGTGGCCTTCCGCGGCCTGCGAGACGGCGGCCGCCAACATGAGCGCAGTACACGCACAGTACACCGCTATCCTCGCCTGTAGTCACTCACCCCCACCACAGCGGCGCCACATTCTCGCCTTTCAGAAGCGATGTGAGACCCTGCTCAGGCGGAGATCAGGCCGCGTACTTGGGCGCCCAACCCTCTGCGGGCGCCCGCCCTGACCACCCAGACCGAGCGGCTCCCGAGGGGCGGGGTGGTGCCGAGCATGGAGGCCCGCTGCGCGACCGCTCCCTTCCCGGCGCTGCTGCAGTTCCCCTACGCCCGCGCCTCCCTGCGCCCATTCGGGCCGCCGCGGCCGATCCGCCGCAAATGGGCCGTTCCGTGCACCGGCGATCCGCAACGGGAGGGCAACGGCGTGGCTCCGAGTGAGTGGACAGTGCGCCCGGCGGGCGGGCGGGATCGCGACCGGCGGGCGCGACGGGCGGGCGCCCGAGGGGTTGTGCTGCCGCGCGGGCCGCAGGGGTCCTCATGGCGGGCGCGGGGTGGCTGAAGGGGCCTTTAGGCCTTTGGCGCTGGCTTCTGGCGTCGCGTCGCTTGATGCGGGATGCATCGCGCCGTGAAGGGTACAGCCGTGTGCCTTGGACCGTGTGGGGAGGGGAAGGGGGCATGGCTTTCAGTCATCTCGCTGAAGCGCGGAGAATCGATGCGGGTCCGCGGCATCTCGGAAAAATCGCGGAAATTGTCGGCCGGTACGAGCTTGGGCTTTCGCAGCGGAGTGGCTGGCTGTTTGTCTCGCTTGGTTTAGCGCGTGGAGTTTGCGCTCTCTCCACAAGTGTTTGTCTTGTTTTGCGAAGAAGACGGCTCTTCACGTTCCAATCCCGCATATCCGGCGCAAGCCACGGTCGTGGCGTGCCTCTGCCCATTGTTCGGTTCCCAGCCGGCTGATGCAAAGCATTTATGTTTTTGCTTCGGATCTGGCATCCGAGAAGGGATCCAGAGATTTGGGTTTGATGTCGTTCCTGTGATTGTATCTCAGCTCCAGGATTGAAGGACACAGTACGGAAGGGAGTTGAGAAGCTTGGCACATTTGTTGAAGGCCTCAAGGCACAGAATGTAAGCCTCAGCGCTGCAGGCAGTCGTCTGTCTGAGAGCTTGCAGGAAGACATCGAGAGGAGCTACTTTGCAGGGGGAGACACAGACATGAGCGCATTTGACAAGGATTGTGTTTTTGAGGATGCCCGAGGGTGCTATGAGGGGGTTGCAGCATACAAGGACAAATGCAAGAGTCTTGGCAGGGTCATGACCGACGTGCATGTGGAGGCTGTGGCGTGGAGGGAGCAAGGGGAAACACTGACAGCATTCTGGCAACTATCATGCCAGCTGAATGGACCTCTGAGTCCGACTTTTGAGTCACAGGGAGAGACAACTTACGTCATAAGTAAGGTAGGCATTTGCTCTGCTGATCTTGTACGTATTGTCAGCTTGGGAGCTTGCTGACTAGTTAGCTCATGCAGGCGTTTGGGAACCACAGCAGTTTCTACAACAGAAGTGTGGTGTTGTGTTGTGTAGCCAGTTTTTTATGTCCTGTTCTATCTCTCATGTCCATCGCACTGCTGGTCTCCATTTGCTTGCCTTCTTCCAGCTCATGGGATGGTTTCCATTTGTGCAGGGCAAGGTGGTGCAGCACTATGAGCAATGGACTGCAATCGTTCCACGCACCTCACTGGAAATCCTCCTGTATGCCCTTTCCGATGGGAGGCCAGAATGGCTGTGCTCTGGAGTGTCAAGATTTGTGATCTTGTCTTCTTCAGTGGTTGTGTTTTCATCCCTTTTCACAAAAGCCACAACTGGGGAAGGACTTCAGGTGGGCCATCTGACTGTCACGTTCATCGTTGCAGTTGTTGCCATAGATTGTGGGGCGCTGCTAAAGCATTGCAACTTTGCACACATGTCATGAGCAGTGTGATTGGTGACCGTTTGTGGATCACTGGCTGTGCATATGTATTAGCAAAGTGTTTTTTCATACCTTGCTTTCACTGCTAATCACTGTCTGTTATACTTCAATTGTATTTGGCCTTTCATGCAGTTAATTCCACAGCATGGCTTCTGGAGTTTACTGTTTCACTGGCAACACATTCTTGGCTGCGTTGCTTCACAGTTTCAAAAAATGCAGTGATGATTTGAACGAAATTTGCAGAATTGGATATTGCAGAACAGCAGGACTGCAAGGCGAAACATGATTCTTTAGTATTCTAGCAACAAGTGTGAAAGATTTGGGCATACTCTGCCTGTCGTTTGTCCTTGCTGCCCATTGTGTTCAAGCATGTGCACACCCTTTGCAAAATGCACGTGTCAAATATGCAACTTTTCTGCTTGCAGGGCGAATTCCTCGGGTCTGTGGAGGGGGTGTCCTACCTGGCCTTTGTGGCTGCCTTGCTCTTCGAGTTGCTGAGGAGCAGCAAAGAGAGAGGCAAGGCTGCAAGGACAGGCCTTTATGTCGTGGATGCGGGTCTGTACTCGGCAGCAGAGAAGGCTGAGGCTGCTGCCGCAGGGGCTAGAAAAGCTGCAGAACTGGCTATGGCTGCTGCTACAGAGTGCGCTTCTGGTGTAGACAAGGTGAAGGATGCCCTTGAAGTGGCTACTCCTGCCACAAGGGCCAGTCCTGCCGGCCGCAAAGCCAGTATGGCTGCTGATGATGCCAGTGCTGCTGCACTGGCATCCAAGGATGCAGCTGGCGTGGCAAGCGATGCTGCAGAGGCAGCTGCAGCTGCAGCCACCAAGGCTAGGTCAGATGCTGACAATGCAAGGGAGTCACGGAAGCAGTACAATGCCTTGGCCATCAGTGGAACTCCAAAAGAAGAAGTTAGTCTTGCGGAGGAGGCAGCAAGCCGAGCTGAGTTGGAGGCAAGCTCTTCTGGGGATGCTGCTGGTATTGCTGCTGGGGATGCAAGTGCTGCTGCCCTTGCAGGTGTTTCTGCAGCAGACAAAGCCACCACTGCTGGAGCAGAGGCACGTGCTGCTGCTGATAGACTCTCCTCAGCAAGTGCTGATACTGCTGCCACTGAGAGTTGGGCAACCCCTGTGGATCAAACTGCCCCCAAAAAGGCTTCGATTGTCGATGCCGCCACTTTGAAGGCTGCTGTCGACAAAGCTGCTGCAACCCAGGATGCAGCGAGCACTGCTGCCAGCAACTGCAAAGAAGCAGCTGATGAAGCCAATGCAGCAGTGCGCGATTGTCGCAGCGCAGCAAACAATGCGAAAGTTGCAGCAAAGAGGGCCAGTGCTTCTGAAGCCATGTGCAGCGAGGCATTGGATGCTGCTTCGACTGCAGAAGAAAATAGCCCTGCTGGGCATGATGCCCGCACTGCCGCTGATGGGGCAAAGACAGCAAGCCTGGAGGCAGCCAAGGCTGCTGATGCTGCAAGTTCTGCAGCAGAGGAGGTCAGCGGTGCTGCTTCCAGAACTCAGGCAGCTGCTGCCAGTGCCCTGGCTGCATCTAGGAACTGTGCTGCGGTGGTGGCCAAAGGCAGTGCCAAGGACATAATGGCTGCTGTGGACATGACACAGTCTGCTATTTCCGATGCCAAATCTGCAGCCAAGAAAGCTGGTGCTGCCATGAGTAAGGCTCTCACTGCCTGTGCTGAGGCCAATTCAGCAGCGGACAATGCAGTTCCTCCCACAGAAAAGGCTGCTGCAGCTGCGAAGGCGCTCCAGGCATTGTGCAAGGCAGCTGCCAATGAATTGCTGGCTCTCCTGCGCCAGGCAAAGGATGCAGAGAAAAAGGGTAATGTCTGTGCCCGAGATGCAAGCAGTGCTGCTGAGAGATGCAAGAGCGCTGCTGTTGAGGCAAGGAATGCTGCTGACAAAGCTGGGGAATGCGCTGTTGTGGCAAGCTCTGGTGCAGAAAAGGCAGTTGCTGCGCTGAATGCCAGCTCTGCTGAAGACAAAGCAAGCCCTATTGGGCGCAAGGCTGCAGCTGCTGCAGAGAAGGCGAGTGCATTGTGCCAGGAGGCTCGTGCTGCTGGAAGTAGAACCAGCAATGCTGCAGATGTGGCCACAGATGCAGCCATGAAGGCGACAGGAGCGGCAGATGAGGCTGTTGCTGCCAGCGATGCCTGCCAAGCACTTGACAAGAAGTCTCCCATGGCTGTTATTGAGGCAGCCATTGAGAAAGCGAGTGGGGCATATGAAAGTGCCCTTGCAGCTGTGGCCAAGGCCACCGCTGCGGAGAAGGAAGCTCTTTCTGCTACAAGAGAAGCCAACAGTGCTGCAGACAAGGCTGCAGGTGCAGGCAGGGAGGCGAGTACAGTGGCAGAGAAACTGTCAGAAGTGTGTGCAGGTCGACAAGCTGAGGACACAGCTCTGAAGTCAACTGCCTTGAGGAGTGCCGGACAGTTGAGTGATGATGTGCGTGCGGTGGCTGTTGCAGCAAAGACAGCGGCAGAGATGGCCAGGGCGTCTGCCCTGGAAGCCATCAGTGCCGCAGAAAAGGCTGCAGCAGGTGCTGGTGAATGCAGAAGTGGTGGTGACAAGGCAACTGGAGCAGTTGACGCAAGTCCTGCAGCTAGGGGCAGTGATGCTTGGCGCAGAGCTGTAGCTGCAGCAAGAGAAGCTGCCAGTCTTGCAACAAAGGCATCTGGAGCAGAACAGGAAGCAATTGCATCTGCCGCAATGACAAATGCAGCTGCTGATGCAGCCCTTGCAGCTGCTGATGTTGCGGGCAGTGCACAGAAGTCCTGTGAGGCGCTTCGGGACGATGCAAGCCTGGAGGATATTGAGAGCACGATTAAAGAAGCCAGAAGTGCCATCAAGGAGGCTGGAGTAGCAGCCGAGAATGCTAATTCAGCTGCTGTGGACACAAGTGGGACAGCTGCTGCTGTGGAAAGAGCTGCAGAAAATGCTGCTGAATGTGGGAAGGAAGCCGTTGCTGCTGCAGATGCCCTGCTTGCAGCTTGCAAAGCCATGGCTGCGGAAACTGCCCAAGCCGCTGCTGGCAAGGCTGCGGCTTCTAAAGCAACGGCTGACAAAGCTGCTTCTGACAAGGCTGCTGTTGTCAGGGAGGCCACAGCAGTGCTGGAATTGGCAGCTGCTGCTGTGAATGACTGCAAACAAGCAGTTGATGAGGCCCATGAAGCTGTAGACAAATGCAAAACAGCTGGGGATTATGCAAAGTCTGCAGCTACCAGAGCCCGAGCTACTGAAAACAAATGCATTGATGCACTTGCGGCTGGTTCTCCAGCTGTCAAGAAGACTGCAGCTGGACGCCATGCCTATGAGGCCGCAGATGGGGCAAAGACTGCATGCCTGCTTGCAACCAAGGCTGTCGAAAAAGCATTTGCGCTGGCAGATGAGGCCAATAGTGCTCTTGTTGGAGTTGGTAAGGCTAAAGAGAGCTTGATGGCTGCACAAAAGGATTGTGCTGCTGCCGTTGATAAGGGGGATTCTAAAGCCATCTTGGCAGCTGTGGCAAAGACGGAAGAAGCTATTCGTACCGCCAGCTCAGCTTCCAAGCAAGCCAGTACAGTTGTATCCAAAGCCATCGATGCTGCTGAGGAGGCCATCAAGGTCGCCAACAATGCTCGTGCCCCTACAGATACAGCCTATGAAGCTGCAAATAGGTTCATTAGTGCATGCAAGATGGGCATCGATACCTTGGCTAAAGCTCTGCAGGATGCTAAGGAGGCAGAGAAGGTGGCAAGTGACTGTGCTCGTGATGCAAGTAGTGCAAGCAGCACATGCGGCAGTGCCGGAGCTGAGGCCAGCAGTGCAGCAGACAAGGCAGTTGCTTGTGTTGCTACAGCAAAGTCAGCAATAGACAAGGTAGCCGCTTCACTAAAAGCAAGCCCCCGCCAAGACAGGAAAAGCTCTGTTGGGAGGAAGGCTTCAGAAGCAGCAGAGACAGTGCAGGCCCTGTGCTTGGAGGCTGAGAGTGCTGCAGAGAAAGCTGCCAATGCTGCAGGAGTAGCCAATGATGCATATGCCAAAGTAGCAGAATCAGCCGACAGCACTGCTTATGCATGTGATCTGTGCAAGCCACTTGACATGGAGTCTCCTTTGGAGAAAATCGTTGGTAACACAACCAGAGCAGTTTTTCTGGCCCGCGAGGGCCGAGAAGCCATTTCCGAGGCGGCTGTCGCAGAAAAGGATGCCCTTGCTGCTGCAAAGGCTGCCATGGACACTGCAGACAGGGTTGCCAAAGCAGCTGAGGAAGCTGTGTCTGCAGCAGACGAGCTGACTGAACAGGTGAAGGCCGACCGTGCTGCCAAGAAAATTCGGCAGAAGACTGCTGTGACCCGTAGGTCGGCATACATTGCAGGTCTGGACTGCAGGAGAGCTGCAGAGAAGTCAAGAGTTGGCAGTGTCGAGGCCAGCAAGGCTGCAGAACAGGCGTATGCTGCAGCAGCAGATGTGGAATCTGCATATGAGAAATTGCTGGAAGTATTTGAAGTCAATCGTCCGGCCAGAGGATCACGTTCTTGGCAAAAGGCACTAGCGGTCGAAAAGAAAGCCAGGGGTTTGGCAGCTGCAGCCAGTGCAGCTGCAGATGTTTGTGCAGCTGCTGGAAAGGAATGCCTTGCCTTTTCACTTGAGGCTACTGCTGCAGCAGACGAAGCAGGTGCAGCCGCACGGAAATGTGCAGCTCTGGGACCTTTTGCTTCTGCAGCTGAAGTTGAGACGTCCATAAAGACAACTGCTGCACTTATTGTGAATATGTACGGTGCCCACAATAAGGCACTTGAGGCAGAAATTGCTGTTCGTCTTCCAACGAGGCAGGCCAGAAATGCTGCAAAGAAGGCTAGTAAAGCTGCCCTTGAGGCCAGAGCTGCGGCTGATGCTCTGGTCGTCGCTGCCAAAGATGCGTTAGCACAAGAAGCCAGAGATGCGGAGAAGAATGCTGCTATTGTGAGCAAGGCACGTGCAGCAGGGAAGGAAACAACCAAAATTGGATTTGAAGCCTGTGATTCTGCAGACAAGACTCTTGATGCTGCACTAAATGCAGCCAAAGTCGCGGAGAAAGCAGGAGATGCCGCTCGCAGGGCTGCCACGGGGGCAGAGAGGGTGGCAGCAGCATTTAAGTCTTGCTCCCAGGAGGAAAAAGCAAGTCCTGCTGGAATGGCGGCCAGGGCTGCAGCTGACAAATCTAGGGCAGCATCGAAGATTGCAAGGAAGGCAGCAGACGTATGTGCAAAAGCTGCAAAGAGGGCCAAATCCGCTTCGGAGGAATGCCGAGAGGCTGCCAGTAAGGCGATAACCGTGGCTGCCAATGCTCAAACTCTTCGTGTAGAACTGCAGGATAGAATGGCTGGGGGAGACCCCTATGTCTCTGGAGAAGATGTGGTTAAGGCTGTGGAGAAGGAAAAGGCCACCAATCTTGAGGCTGCCAATATTGTGAAACGCTGCAATGCAGCTGCTCTTGAGGTTGCCAATGCTGTTGCAGTGGCAGCTCCTGCAGGAGACGAGGCTGCTGTGGCAGAGATTGAAGCCAACGGATTTGCAGATCAGATTTTGAACGCCAGAGATTCTAGGCTCGCCGGCTTGTTTGAAGACAGGATTGCTGCTGAGGCTGAGGCACGCACAGCTGCTAAAACAGCAAAGGAGGCGGCTGTGAAAGCTGCTGATGCTGCAGAATATGCCAAAACGGCCGCTGTCGAAGCCAATTCTGGTGCAGACAGGGTCGGTGACTGTGCACGAAACTCTAAGCAGCTTGCTGGTCTGTTGTCTACAGTTGCCAACAAAGTCAACGGTGCTGCCGACGGCGCCAGTGCTGCTGCAGCAGAGGCCAATGGTGCAGCCAACAGGGCAAGTGCAGGATCAGCTCAGGCTATGGCTGCTGCAAAGACAGCCACAGATGCTGGAGGCAGGGCTGTGTCCGCTGCAGACAGGGCCAACGCCATTGCACAGGAAGCCAGTGCATGTGCAGACTCAGCGGTCAAGGCAGGAAACACGAGCAACACTGCCGCAGACAGGGCCCGAGCCACAGCTCGCTTGGCCAATGGTGCTGCAGACAAGGCAAGCCTGGCAGCCAGCAAGGCAGCTTCTGCTGCTGAGAAAGCCGTGCTGTCTGCCATGGAAGCCCGCGCTGCATCTGATGCTGCCAGGACTGTGGTGAAGAAGGCAGATGTTTGCGCAACCAAGGCGCTGGCTGTGGCAGACTCGCCTAAATCGACCCCTGCTGAACTCAGAACTGTGGCCAATGCTGCCAACGCAGCTGCGGCAGAGGCCGCCGAAGCTGCTCGCAGGGCGATAGCTGCGGCCGACAGGGCCAAGGCTGATTGCCAGTTTGCCATAGACACTGGAGACGAGGCTGCTACCGCAGAGAAGGAGGCTTCTGTGGTTGCGGACAACTGTGCTGCTGTTATCAATGAGATCAAGGCCACGCAGGAGCTGGTGGGCAGGTGGACCCGGAAGGCACGTGTGGAAGCGGACAGGGCAAATGCGGCAGCTGCAAGGGCCACTGCAGCAGCATCGAGCACAAAGGGACCATCCCTACCATTCAGAAGGCCATCATTGGCCATTAACCTTGGAGGCCTGCTTGGTAGTGGAGGAGGGGGCCGTGGCGGATATGGGGGTGGCGATGGCGGCAGAGGAGATGGTGGCAGGGATGGTGGGGCTGGCGATGAGCCCGCTGACGACTTCTTTTCCTGGTTCTTGCCTGGTGCACTTTATGTGGCTCTTATATATGCCACATGGTGTCTGATCAGCTACAGAGTCCATGAGCAGAGGTGGGGCGAGAGGAGACTGCTGGGTGCCAAAATACCAGCACGTTCTGATGGCAGCATGTTTGAGTACCTCAGGCCATTCGTGGATGCGGTCCAGCCCAAGCCGGAGCAACCAAGTGTGGCGCCAGTGGCACAGGACTACAAATCGAACAAGGCAAGCCCTCTGCCAGCGGTACAGGGATATGCGCCAACAACAAAGTCACGGGACTTCAAGCCTGCATCAACTTCGCGCGACCTGAAGCCTGCGTCAATTGCACAAGATTACAAGTCCACATCAGCATCGCGGGGCTATGTACCTGCATCAATTTCAAAGGGGAATTTGCCACAATCTGCAGAATCGGCTCAAGAGATTCAGGGGATGGGCTATGGGATGTCTGGGCTGATGTTTGCAATTTTCGTTGGACTGGCAAAGAATGGGCCCAAGCCTTCAGCAACCTGACTTGAAACTGGGGAGAGGTCTGTTGGTTTGGACAAGTTGGTGGGTTGCTGCACATCGCTGGGACGATGAATACATTCCAATGGCTTGCAGGCAGGGGGATATTCACAATACGAATTCAACACACATAGATGAAGACACAGTGCACCCGTCTTTCTTCTTTCATTTCTAGATGGTCTAGTTGCGCTCAACGAAGAGCGTTCTCCCAGTGGGCAAGTTCAAGTCATGTTTTGCATATCGCATTTTGGAGGATGACCAGCTGACCCCCTGCATGTACAGAGTTGCTGGTGTGAAAACGTTGCACATGTCGTACGCATGTCCAATCTGTTGTTTGCATGCCGTGTTCGCAAGTGGAAAGTAATGTGGCCTAGTTTCGAATGCGTTGGCTAAAAGGGAGTCATGGGCTGTCAGCACGTGTAGAGGAGTGAGGCATCGGGCGAGACCGAGCAATCGAGTTGTGATGCGCATGCCCTGTAAAACTGTACCACTTGTTCTCAACCGGGTGGAGTTGCATGGTTTTGAGCGTTCAAAGTAACTGTGCTCTCAGCAATGCTCCAATGCCAACTGAAACTAGATCGGTGCTTCGATGTAAGCCATGAGATGGCTGTGACCACCTCAGGTGATGGTTTTGCCATTCACTGTTCGTGTGGCCAGCTGGTCCAAAGTTGGCACAGTAGTGATGCAAGGCGATCGACTGGGTGTCGGGAAACTTGGGACCCCGGTGAAGAGTTTGGCTGGGGACTGCTTCCCTACAAAATGCCTTTCGCGAAGAGCACAATTCAAATGGTATTCAGAAGTACACAGGACCTCTGCGGGAGTCAGGCCATGCTTGGCTCCACCTAATGAGTCAGCCGCATGTTGCAGTCTGGAATTGTCGAACAGTTCTTTTCTTTGGAACCCAACGTGGAGCGGATATTGCGCTTGGCCTTCCCCCAAAGCGTTGCACTGGCCCATTTGGCGGCGCGCCCTGGAATCCAATGGTTCAACACCGGTGCAGCACCGATAACGCACAGGTACCATGGGCTCTAACCTCGGCATGGCTCAGCCAATTGGTACTGTTATCGAATGACAATTCATCTTCAGAGCTTCCGAATTGGCCGCAAGGGACAAGTGCCGCAAGATATCCAATTGTACGCAAAGATCACGTCACTCTCAGATAACAAATCGCATGAGGTTGTGCATCAGGAGTCGAAAGCCTGGGTTGTGTCCAATCGGCGTCGAAATGGACGAAAGCAGCAAGTCATTAAATCAAAAGCAAATTACGGGATTGGTGAAAAAGAGCTGATTTCGGAATAGTTGGTAGGGAGCGGCTTTTGCACCCCACCCACGCCAGTCCCTTGGGACCTGCAGGCAGCAATTCGCTGGTACACACAGTGCTCCTGCACTCGGGTGGCCCACGTACAGGCAGCGAAACGGGATCATGTCGGTTAACAGCGGCTGGTGTACCCGGAGTGGAGAATGCTGACATTGTCCTCAAATGCCCTGGGCAGGCACAACACAACCGCAATGCAAAATATAGTGTGGGCCCACGCCCGGGCGAGGGCGACTCTTGGCACGCTTGACAGAGAGGGGTGCGTCAAATTTTGGTTCTGCCCCCAAGCTGGCCAGTCTCCCAGAATCCCACACCGGGGTTCATACTATGCTCCGTGCCTGCCCAATCCGCCCAGCTGAAAAGGAAAACGATTCAATTGCCATTGCCACCAGAAATTTGCGGAAGATCGGATATCCTACGTAGGACACAGATGGCGTAGGATGCCACATACGGCATGGCAAGTACGGCAAATCTAGGCAAAATGTAGCTCAGAGGAAAGGATCCAAAATTGCGGATCTGAGGAGCAAAACAGAAAATGCAGGAGAGCTACTGCTGGACGGCTCATTGGGACGTCTGTGAATTCATTTCGTTGCCAAATTATTTGTGCATTTTGTCTGTGGCTTCGGACCTCACGCAAATGTGGACAATGCGGAAAAGGGTGCCAAAACGCGCCAATACAGTTGTAATCTCATGACTATGTCACAATTTTGGTTTGCGTTGTGAAGTCATGTGTCACTGCATTTGACTGAGATCGACTCCAGCATGCCTCGCCTGGAAAGCCTGTACCAAATCCCAAAAAAAGCAATGAACATCGTGAACTTTGGGAAACATAATTAACTATCATGTTAATGAGTTTCTGCCAAGGGCGACGTTGGGTAGGCTCGCCCCGGCCATTGTGGGCCGGGCTGCCTTTCTGAGCCGTTTAAGGGCCATCAGATTCTTCGTCTCAAATTACATTGCAGTTATGAGCCTTGGGCCTGGGAAACCTACCAAATCATCTCAGTTGTGCACAGAATTTGGCTACAATGTTTTAGTTTAAGTCCAGTTTGTGCTCCAAAATTTTGTGACTCAATTGGCTGAGTATTCATTCCGCAATATCAATTTGAAAACAGGTCTTTCAGCCAAGCGTTTCGAGGTGGCTCCGGAACATCCCGCTTTTGAGCCGTGGACCATGCCACCTTGCAATGCCCCTCACCGTGCAAAATGACGCGACTTAGGGATGCGTTTTAGACTGCGGGTTAATGCAAAGATACAATAGTGGAGGGCAGGCCACCAGGTTGTCCCAAATGGCATCACCGAGGATCTCGCCTGACTTTTGCCTCCATCTCCATTCCCCGAATCGTGCGCTGGTTGTGCCAGGCAATCTTTTCAACTCTCACTACAAACTGCTCCCGCCAAGTCTTGGGACGTCCGCGGTTCCCTTGCCATGTGTGGGACACGTTCATTCCCGCAGGATTGGCGATTGCATTCTGGAACGGCTTACCAATGGTCTTAATCGTTTAGCATCAAGTCTGCAATCCATGGGCAGGATCTTCGATCACGTGTTTCCAGAAGCGCTGGTGGCCTGCCCTCTGCCTCTATATCTCCCCGCCGACCTGCAGTCTGAGGTACGTCTCCAACTTCTATCACTTGGCGCGGTGGGGGACACCATAGGGTGACATGGTCCAGGGCCTGAAAACAGGCGGTTTCAGCACCATCCTGAAAATTACGGTGTTTCGGGAAAAGTGGGGTGTGTTTAGAATGCCATTGCAGATTGACTACTGAGCTGATTAACCCAAGACCTTGGGAGCACAAACTATACTTAGTTGAAAACATTGTGGCAAATTTGGTGAAATTCTGAGATGTCTCAGTGGGTCTTCTGAGGTTTTCTGAGGCAGCAGATCATAACGGCAATTTAATTTGGGACGGAGGAAGTAGGAACGTAGTACAACACTACACATGCACTAGAAGCCGCTCGAGAAACTTCAGTCATCGTAACGCCAAGCAAATCTTGCTTATGCGTCCGCTCGACTTTTTCCCTGCACGTTCTTTCCGTGTATTAGCACACATCATCTCTACTGGCGACTCTGGATATGTTATAAGAACACTTGGGGCTCTCAAAGAGTAAATCGTTGAGATAACATTTCCGGACAAAGGTATAAATGGAGCTGACCACATGAATCAAATGAAAGGTACGGGGGCTCAGCTCAGCTCAGTTCAACGGTCTTTTATGGTGACACATAATGGCTGGGAAGTCCACGGGTCACCTGGACTGCCTGGAATGGGGCACTGGCCCATTGCCAGAAATGCTACATTTCGAGTGAAGGGGTTAGACCATGACTGTTCGCCCAGACAGTAGGTGTTGCATGGAGATATTGCTTGCTTGCTTTGTTGGTTAGGCTGGTTGATGCTGCTTCTACTGGTTTGGGCCGGAGGTTGAACAAAAGCGGCACAAAAATGGAACCTAAGTACTTGATACAAGTTGGGCTCGCTCGGCACTGGTCGTGGGTCGGGGTCGAAATCTCTATCGAATTCATCCTCCGAAAGAAATCGTCGAAATCATCGAAACAATCGAAATCATCGAAATCATCGAAAATCATCGAAATCGAGAAATCGAAATCATCAAAATCATCCGAAATCATCAAAAATCATCAAAAATCATCGAAATCATCCGAAAATCATCAAAATCAATCGAAATCAATAAAAAGCTCTAAAGGGTCAGAATCAATCATTAAAAGGATAATCGTCGAAATCTCCATCCGGTCATCGAAAATCACCCATTGATTTTGACATCTTGTGGACTCTGGACATCTGCAGTTCACAGAGCTCGCATTTGCCCCTGCACAGGGAGATGAACTTCGATCGTGGGTGAGTTGTGCAGGAACATGGCAGGACACTCATTCTGTACACCACAGCTGTGCGCAGGATCCCTTGCTGCGAACAAATGCAAGGTCAAACAGTCGGAGCACTGTGCTTACAACAACCAAGTTCAACGCCAACCACAACACTCTCAGGAGGCCACTGTGGAATCGTACAGGGTTAATCTAGCACCAAAGACTAGAAAGCCGGGAAAGCAGCCTTTAAAAGGTCCAAGGCACTTGCAAGCTGATTCCGCTGCCACCCAAAGCGATAGCGGCAGGGGTCGCTAACATCTGCAACCCTAAATCTGTGCCACCAGGGCACCATATGATGGGAGTGCTCTACAAAGCCCGGACCTGCCTCCTTGGCATGCCTGTGGACTTTGCTCCCCAGCCCAAAGTAGTCACCAGGATCTGCAGTGTTTCTTTTGCACTCATGGACATGCATTTAATCAACCAATCGACACCAACCAGCTACCCCCTTCCTTGTTCCAACACGAAAGATGTTCAAAACCGAGTTCCCCCTACCTCGTTCAGTAAATCACCCTGCCGCCCACACAGCCAAAGCAATCTTCATCACAAAGAAATACGAACAGGGGGCACTCAACAGCCACAATGGCCTGGTGCCTCGCTCCCCTCCCCAACCATCCCAAATCCTTCCACATTCCTTGGGTACTAAATTCCTGCCAGGGTAAAGCTGTGCTAACTGGCAGTGCAATGCCGAAGTGATTGACCTCCCGCCCTTGACCTGCACCAGGTGGACCTGTGAACTCCAGTGTGTTCTCTATGCCGCCCAAGGGGTTCCATTAGTAGGTCGACCTGGGACCAATCAGCAACAGGCTGCACTCTTTGGCGCTGACGGCGTTGCATGCATGTCAACAGGGTCAGGGTAACTGTAACCACCACACCGTGTGTTAATAAGACCAAGGCTTGGTGCGACATCCAGTGAAAACTTGATGTGATCCATTGACCTTTAAGCACAAAGCATGGAAAATGTGGCAATGCCTGCAGCAATCTAATCAGCTGAGTTGCAGGTGGTGATGATACACCAGAGACATAGAAAATTTGGGTACTGCACTTCTTGCTGCCCAGTCCGACAGGTGCTACAATAGCTGGCAAACAACAACTAAATGATCCTCATGGGTATGCAGGGAACGACACACTTGAACAAGCACCCAGGTTAAATCCCCACAGGCTACAGCCGTCAAACTGTACAAAGGCTCTGCTCGTTCACATGAATGCGATATTGGGCCCTGCTCACAAGGCCCCACCTGATGCAACACTGTATCAATTGAACAGCATCCCCACAAGCACTAGAGAACGTTCAGTGTGGAAACTGTGCTACATTTGGCATAAGCATCTTGTGCTGAAGAACCAACATACAACAGAGTTATCACATGAGCATGTGGTGCAGCCTGGACTGTGCATACTGTGCAGGAGCCTGAGATCCCTTGCCTGTGGCACACTAGTCTGCTCTTGCCTGCCTTCAAAATATGCCTGGCCAATTTGTGATAAGTGCACCTAGCCAAAAGTGCTGCAGCCCCTTCCTTAGCCCCTAGCTGTACCAGGAGAACAAAGGGCATCATACCACACCAAGTTGTGATCGACAACTTCAGCAAGACCATAGGACCAGTCAACCTGTCTGCTGTGGCCACTTACTACTCGTCCACAGGCTCGTTGCTCAGAGCATTCTTGGCCACATTCATGAAAGCTGCATCAACGTTGATGTCCTCCTTGGCGGACGTCTCAAAATGCGGAATGTTGCCATTCACAGCGCACCAGCGCCTGGCCTTATACTCGGACACCTGGGCAGGATGCAGAGCCATCAAACTTTCCTATCTTCTGAACCCAGAGGGTAAGTCTGCTGCAAATGGAGTCAAACCGCTCCACAGAACCAAAATCAAATTGCTCCGCAGTTCTTTAGTCCGCAGACAGGGATGCAGCATGCCCACTATGGGGCATCCCAACTGTGACCTGCTGGGACACTTGCTCAGGGGGTTCCTGGCCCTGCCACTCGACAACCTAACGCGGAACGGCCGGCCAGCGCAGCAGAGAAGCCGCGCTTCCGGCAGGGAAACCACAGCCAGCGGCCGTCCGGTGGCGTCTCGAGGCGCATTACTCACCACTCTGCTCTCCCCGTTGTCCTGATCAATCTTGTTCCCCACCACCACGAACGGAAAGCTCTCCTTGTTTCTGGGCGCCGCCTGCGACGCAGTGCACGCAACGCCCCCGCCGTGAGGCCTTCCCGCACAGAGCCCCCCCCCCCCCCCCCCGGTCTCAAGGTCAAGATGCGCCACCGCCGCAGCACCCACACACATTGCGGCCCACCTGCACCAGGAACTCGTCCTTCCAGTGGTCCAGGTTGTCAAACGACTTGTTGTTGTTCACATCGTAGACGATGACGCAGCAGTCCGCTCCGCGGTAGAACGCTACCCCCAGGCTCTGAAACCTCTCCTGGCCCGCCGTGTCCCAAATCTGCATCGGCGGGCACACAGGCCTATCGTAAGTCCACACAGCGACTGGGCGCCCGCCAGCACGGCATCCCAGGCCGCCCCAAGGGTGCCCCCCGCCCTCCCCACCTGCAGCGTGACCAGCTTGTCGTCAATCTGGATCTCCTTCGACAAGAAATCGGCGCCAATGGTGGCCTTGTACTGTGGGGAGAACTTCTTGTGGACGTACTGGTTCATCAGCGACGTCTTGCCCACCCTGCAAGCGCCAAATCGCAGCCATGTTCATTTTGCGTCCTTTCCAGCCGCGGCGCAATTCATGCTTCCCGCCCGGCGCGAGATTCGACAGGGGGGGGAGGCGGCACCGTGCCGGGCAGGCGCCCTGCGGCGCACCCGCTGTCGCCCAGTATGATGACCTTCATCAGCTTTCTCTTCTTGGAGGCCATCGTGGAGTGTGGCGAAAAGTGGGGGAGAGGTGGGCGAGTGAGGAGGCGCGCTGGTGCGTCGCGGCAAGGCCGGGGTGGAGCGCGGCGGTGGCAGGAGGTACGCGGAGCCAGGTGCCCTTGGGTGTGCGGGCCCCGGATGAGTGTACCCGCCGCACGGGCGCTGTCGGCCCACGGTCAATTGAGCGGGTAGTTGATGGCTCCTTCCGTCCGTTTTGGGAGACAATTGGTGGGGTGGCGATGCTGGTGTTACGGTGTAACGATTCGTTGATGCACAACCCCAGGGAAAACTCTTGAAAGATTCATAAGTTTTGGCTGCCCTTCCAACAAACTGTGACGAGCCAACCCACTGCTCTTCGTGGGTGGCTTCCGCAAGCGCAGTGAAGCTCGCGTTACTTTACCCCCAACGCCACTTGGCAGCTGTGGCCGCCATTAGAGGCGTGTTTTCGGTTACACAGTTGGGCCCGGACGTGCCCCTCGCACACTGGATGGTACGCTACATTGATCGATGCCGTGACATCATGTCGATGCATCCATGTAAGGAAGAAACAAACAAGAAACAAACCCCCAACGCCACCGCAAACAGAAACACCCACAGCCTGTTGCAGAAGTGGGCTTTCAATCCACGACCGCTTTCTTGCGTTCCAACATGTCGGAAATCCTTCGCTCATTCGCCCCCAAGGCGAAGTTGTGCACAGGATTGTAACCATTGTCATGATGTGCACTTTCAGTTGCGTTGCACTTTCCTCGGAATGACATTGCCGAGTCGTAGACGATGCACCACGCCCACGTATACACAGCTGGTCTTCCGCTTGCAGGACATGTCCAAAACAGCCCCCTTGCACGGAATCTGGCAATCAGTAGGAGCTCAGGCATCAACATCCAGGGCATTCAGCTTCAGGTGAGACTCCTGGCTTGCACTCTGTTGTTAGAGACTTGAGAAGCACCCGCTTGTGGCCATCCAGCTGTGTGATCACGGTCGCTGGAACAGCATTCATTACTTCACTCACAAGAGAAAGGCAGTCTCCATCACCCACAAGGCGATGAAGGGCCGCTGCACACAGTAGCTTGGTTCAAGACAAGTCGTCAAGCTCTGGAGCTGCCCTCATGCAAAGCGCAGAAGCCCCTGATCACCATCTCTGCCCAGTAATTCAGTATCCGTATCCATCTTTGAGAAAACTGGTCACTCAGGTACTGGAGGTGCACACGCTGCAGCAATATGACGTCAAAAATTGTGCTGGGTCCACAACATCCATGCATAAATGTACCTTTCGTTGAATACCTTGCGCATTACTGCAAGGAACCATTTCAAGATGCACTGGGCCACAGGCCCTGTTTGGAGGGGCCCACCTGCCACATTGCACACATGGGGCCTTTGCGGGGCACAGCACACAGGCAAGACACCAATCCTGCCGATCGAAAGGGGAAATCACAACACCAGCATAAGGCTGCCCATGCACCTACATGCTGCGGCCACCGCCATTGATGTTGCAGTGCATCAGAGTTTGCGCTTATGCTATCAGCACTCAATAGATGGAAACAAGAAGTATGCGCAGTGGCACAGACAGAGCGTTTCTTGCATAAAATCCTCTCCACCTGCTCAGTGCACAATTGTGCAGACACCTCCATTTCATTCAAAAGCATTGAATGCCATCGAATAAATATGACAGGGCAGCCTTGACCTTTCAGTCACATGCATCTTTCTTGCTGGCCCGTGCCTGTGGCTTCACCCAAACTGCTCTGCTTCACGATGCTCTCGAGCTACCCGACCTAACCGTCTGTCAAACCTCCCAGCATTCGTCCACCGTCAGAACCTGAGTCACAACATCTATATCGCAACCCATATCCAGACAGATCGTATTCATCTGTCACTGATCCGCGGTGAACTTTGACGACGCTCCCTACAAAAAGGGCTGAGGCCCTGCAAGCATGGAGATGTGTGCGGAGCAAACTTCAAGGTGGCAAAAGGGGGCACTGCAAGCATGCAGGTGCCAGGCGTTGGTGTGCAGGCACCACATGTGCTGCTGCCTTCCACGCCCCTTCCTCTGGTTCATCTGCATGCATTTGCTTGCTCTTTCCTGGCGTGGGCTCCTTTCTCACTCTTTTTTCAGTGCACGCCGTTTTGCCAGAGGCACGTCATCATCAGATGATGGTTCATCCACTCTGGCAGGGAACGGCCGCTTCACAAGTGGAACACCACATTCTTTAGATGAGCCCTTGTGAGCAAGTCGCTTCGCCAGAGGCACGTCATCATCAGATGATGAATCGTGCACTCTGGCAGAGGGTGCCCGCTGTGCCAGCGGAACGTCATCGTCGTCAGATGAGTCCTTTTGAGCAAGCCGCTTCGCGAGAGGAACGTTGTCGTCATCAGACGAGTCCAGTCCACCATCGAAGAGTCCACTCTTCTGCAAGAAATGACCACCAGTCGCCTTAAGAGCCATGCAAAGCTGTGGTAAAGGAGCCAGCTGGCCTCCAACAACGAGCAAGGTGTGGCTGGAAATGTACACCATCATCCTAATGACATCGTGTCAGGCTGTGCAGACACCACTTGGCACAACAGCAGATGCCACGAACAGCTGGCACAACAGCCAACGAAGGCACCACACTGCTGCTGTATGTGCTGACAAAGTGCAGCACCTGTTGCCATGCTATATGGAACACACCACTGAATCTGTGGAATGATACAGCAATTCCACATCTACACTAGCCAAGATCGGTGAGCGAGGTGCATAATGTTGAAGTTGTCAACTGGCCACCAAGCCAAACAGCTGCCACATGCAGCAATAGCCAACTGGCTGATGGACTCAGCTCAGACCTTAAAACATTGCTGTTGCAACAGGAACGATTTCTCCCAGCATACCAAAAGTGGTGAAAGGGTAATGCTCTGGCAATTGCTAATGAATGTGAAGCAATGAAGATTTAAACAGACAGCAACTCAAGATGTAGGAAACATTGGAATGGCATGAGCTCTGTTGCCTCTCACCAAAAGCTCCGATTTCTTGGATTTCAACTTCCCTTTCTGTGCCTCCGGAACTGCAGGGCAGGGTATCAGTTGGTTAAATTCTTCATTACTGACAGCAGCTTAACCCAATTCATATGGACCACCACCAAAGCTCTCAAGGGCATCAGCAAAGTCAGGGTACAGGAGGAGAGCAAGAATCCAGCCCAGGTGCAGCTGATGACCAGCAGTCACGTTGTTCTGCATCAGGCAAGCCGTTTGTTTGACTACATATGTCGAGTGGTGCAAGAGGCCGGGAGCATCAAACACAAGACATTGCGTGCAAGCAGTCACGAATAGGTCTGAACTTCTCTCCCTTCCCCTTTTTGCCCTCTGCCATGCAAGAAAGAGATGTACAGGTCTTCATACAAGTGATCTCCCAATTGGTGGCGAAGCTAGTTTTGCAACATAA